GTTCAACATGTGAGAAGTAGAAAGTACAGGTATTTGAGTTCAACATGTAAGAAGTAGAAAGTACAGGTATTTGAGTTCAACATGTAAGAAGTAGAAAGTACAGGTATTTGAGTTCAACATGTAAGAAGTAGAAAGTACAGGTATTTGTGTTCAACATGTGAGAAGTAGAAAGTACAGGTATTTGTGTTCAACATGTGAGAAGTAGAAAGTACAGGTATTTGAGTTCAACATGTGAGAAGTAGAAAGTACAGGTATTTGAGTTCAACATGAGAGAAGTAGAAAGTACAGGTATTTGTGTTCAACATGTGAGAAGTAGAAAGTACAGGTATTTGTGTTCAACATGTGAGAAGTAGAAAGTACAGGTATGTGAGTTCAACATGAGAGAAGTAGAAAGTACAGGTATTTGAGTTCAACATGTGAGAAGTAGAAAGTACAGGTATTTGTGTTCAACATGTGAGAAGTAGAAAGTACAGGTATTTGAGTTCAACATGTAAGAAGTAGAAAGTACAGGTATTTGAGTTCAACATGTAAGAAGTAGAAAGTACAGGTATTTGAGTTCAACATGTAAGAAGTAGAAAGTACAGGTATTTGTGTTCAACATGTGAGAAGTAGAAAGTACAGGTATTTGTGTTCAACATGTGAGAAGTAGAAAGTACAGGTATGTGAGTTCAACATGTGAGAAGTAGAAAGTACAGGTATTTGAGTTCAACATGAGAGAAGTAGAAAGTACAGGTATTTGAGTTCAACATGTGAGAAGTAGAAAGTACAGGTATTTGTGTTCAACATGTGAGAAGTAGAAAGTACAGGTATTTGAGTTCAACATGTAAGAAGTAGAAAGTACAGGTATTTGTGTTCAACATGTAAGAAGTAGAAAGTACAGGTATTTGAGTTCAACATGTAAGAAGTAGAAAGTACAGGTATTTGAGTTCAACATGTAAGAAGTAGAAAGTACAGGTATTTGAGTTCAACATGTAAGAAGTAGAAAGTACAGGTATTTGAGTTCAACATGTGAGAAGTAGAAAGTACAGGTATTTGTGTTCAACATGTGAGAAGTAGAAAGTACAGGTATGTGAGTTCAACATGAGAGAAGTAGAAAGTACAGGTATTTGAGTTCAACATGTGAGAAGTAGAAAGTACAGGTATTTGAGTTCAACATGTGAGAAGTAGAAAGTACAGGTATTTGAGTTCAACATGTAAGAAGTAGAAAGTACAGGTATTTGTGTTCAACATGTGAGAAGTAGAAAGTACAGGTATTTGAGTTCAACATGTAAGAAGTAGAAAGTACAGGTATTTGAGTTCAACATGTAAGAAGTAGAAAGTACAGGTATTTGAGTTCAACATGTGAGAAGTAGAAAGTACAGGTATTTGTGTTCAACATGTAAGAAGTAGAAAGTACAGGTATTTGGGTTCAACATGTGAGAAGTAGAAAGTACAGGTATTTGAGTTCAACATGAGAGAAGTAGAAAGTACAGGTATTTGTGTTCAACATGTAAGAAGTAGAAAGTACAGGTATTTGTGTTCAACATGTAAGAAGTAGAAAGTACAGGTATTTGAGTTCAACATGTGAGAAGTAGAAAGTACAGGTATTTGAGTTCAACATGTAAGAAGTAGAAAGTACAGGTATTTGAGTTCAACATGTAAGAAGTAGAAAGTACAGGTATTTGTGTTCAACATGTAAGAAGTAGAAAGTACAGGTATTTGAGTTCAACATGTAAGAAGTAGAAAGTACAGGTATTTGAGTTCAACATGTAAGAAGTAGAAAGTACAGGTATTTGAGTTCAACATGTGAGAAGTAGAAAGTACAGGTATTTGTGTTCAACATGTGAGAAGTAGAAAGTACAGGTATTTGTGTTCAACGTGTAAGAAGTAGAAAGTACAGGTATTTGTGTTCAACATGTAAGAAGTAGAAAGTACAGGTATTTGAGTTCAACATGTAAGAAGTAGAAAGTACAGGTATTTGTGTTCAACATGTAAGAAGTAGAAAGTACAGGTATTTGAGTTCAACATGTGAGAAGTAGAAAGTACAGGTATTTGAGTTCAACATGTAAGAAGTAGAAAGTACAGGTATTTGTGTTCAAAGTGTAAGAAGTAGAAAGTACAGGTATTTGTGTTCAACATGTAAGAAGTAGAAAGTACAGGTATTTGAGTTCAACATGTGAGAAGTAGAAAGTACAGGTATTTGAGTTCAACATGTAAGAAGTAGAGAGTACAGGTATTTGTGTTAAACATGTAAGAAGTAGAAAGTACAGGTATTTGAGTTCAACATGTAAGAAGTAGAAAGTACAGGTATTTGAGTTCAACATGTAAGAAGTAGAAAGTACAGGTATTTGTGTTCAACATGTAAGAAGTAGAAAGTACAGGTATTTGTGTTCAACATGTAAGAAGTAGAAAGTACAGGTATTTGGGTTCAACATGTAAGAAGTAGAAAGTACAGGTATTTGAGTTAAACATGTAAGAAGTAGAAAGTACAGGTATTTGAGTTCAACATGTAAGAAGTAGAAAGTACAGGTATTTGGGTTCAACATGTAAGAAGTAGAAAGTACAGGTATTTGAGTTAAACATGTAAGAAGTAGAAAGTACAGGTATTTGAGTTCAACATGTAAGAAGTAGAAAGTACAGGTATTTGTGTTCAACATGTGAGAAGTAGAAAGTACAGGTATTTGAGTTCAACATGTAAGAAGTAGAAAGTACAGGTATTTGGGTTCAACATGTAAGAAGTAGAAAGTACAGGTATTTGAGTTCAACATGTAAGAAGTAGAAAGTACAGGTATTTGTGTTCAACATGAGAGAAGTAGAAAGTACAGGTATTTATGTTCAACATGTAAGAAGTAGAAAGTACAGGTATTTGTGTTCAACATGTAAGAAGTAGAAAGTACAGGTATTTGTGTTCAACATGTAAGAAGTAGAAAGTACAGGTATTTGTGTTCAACATGTAAGAAGTAGAAAGTACAGGTATTTGTGTTCAACATGTAAGAAGTAGAAAGTACAGGTATTTGTGTTCAACATGTAAGAAGTAGAAAGTACAGGTATTTGTGTTCAACATGAGAGAAGTAGAAAGTACAGGTATTTGTGTTCAACATGTGAGAAGTAGAAAGTACAGGTATTTGTGTTCAACATGTGAGAAGTAGAAAGTACAGGTATTTGGGTTCAACATGTAAGAAGTAGAAAGTACAGGTATTTGAGTTCAACATGTAAGAAGTAGAAAGTACAGGTATTTGAGTTCAACATGTGAGAAGTAGAAAGTACAGGTATTTGAGTTCAACATGTAAGAAGTAGAAAGTACAGGTATTTGAGTTCAACATGTAAGAAGTAGAAAGTACAGGTATTTGTGTTCAACATGTGAGAAGTAGAAAGTACAGGTATTTGAGTTCAACATGTAAGAAGTAGAAAGTACAGGTATTTGTGTTCAACATGTAAGAAGTAGAAAGTACAGGTATTTGGGTTCAACATGTAAGAAGTAGAAAGTACAGGTATTTGAGTTCAACATGTAAGAAGTAGAAAGTACAGGTATTTGAGTTCAACATGTAAGAAGTAGAAAGTACAGGTATTTGTGTTCAACATGTAAGAAGTAGAAAGTACAGGTATTTGAGTTCAACATGTGAGAAGTAGAAAGTACAGGTATTTGTGTTCAACATGTGAGAAGTAGAAAGTACAGGTATTTGAGTTCAACATGTAAGAAGTAGAAAGTACAGGTATTTGTGTTCAACATGTAAGAAGTAGAAAGTACAGGTATTTGGGTTCAACATGTAAGAAGTAGAAAGTACAGGTATTTGAGTTCAACATGTAAGAAGTAGAAAGTACAGGTATTTGAGTTCAACATGTGAGAAGTAGAAAGTACAGGTATTTGAGTTCAACATGTAAGAAGTAGAAAGTACAGGTATTTGAGTTCAACATGTAAGAAGTAGAAAGTACAGGTATTTGTGTTCAACATGTGAGAAGTAGAAAGTACAGGTATTTGAGTTCAACATGTAAGAAGTAGAAAGTACAGGTATTTGTGTTCAACATGTAAGAAGTAGAAAGTACAGGTATTTGGGTTCAACATGTGAGAAGTAGAAAGTACAGGTATTTGTGTTCAACATGTAAGAAGTAGAAAGTACAGGTATTTGTGTTCAACGTAAGAAGTAGAAAGTACAGGTATTTGTGTTCAACATGTAAGAAGTAGAAAGTACAGGTATTTGAGTTCAACATGTAAGAAGTAGAAAGTACAGGTATTTGTGTTCAACATGTAAGAAGTAGAAAGTACAGGTATTTGAGTTCAACATGTAAGAAGTAGAAAGTACAGGTATTTGAGTTCAACATGTAAGAAGTAGAAAGTACAGGTATTTGTGTTCAACATGTAAGAAGTAGAAAGTACAGGTATTTGAGTTCAACATGTGAGAAGTAGAAAGTACAGGTATTTGTGTTCAACATGTGAGAAGTAGAAAGTACAGGTATTTGAGTTCAACATGTAAGAAGTAGAAAGTACAGGTATTTGTGTTCAACATGTAAGAAGTAGAAAGTACAGGTATTTGGGTTCAACATGTAAGAAGTAGAAAGTACAGGTATTTGGGTTCAACATGTAAGAAGTAGAAAGTACAGGTATTTGAGTTCAACATGAGAGAAGTAGAAAGTACAGGTATTTGAGTTCAACATGCAAGAAGTAGAAAGTACAGGTATTTGAGTTCAACATGTAAGAAGTAGAAAGTACAGGTATTTGAGTTCAACATGTAAGAAGTAGAAAGTACAGGTATTTGTGTTCAACATGTAAGAAGTAGAAAGTACAGGTATTTGGGTTCAACATGTAAGAAGTAGAAAGTACAGGTATTTGGGTTCAACATGTAAGAAGTAGAAAGTACAGGTATTTGGGTTCAACATGTAAGAAGTCAAAGTAAAAAGTGGTCAGAAAAATAAGTAGCGGAGTAAAGTACTGATACCAGAAACATGTACTTAAGTACAGTAACAAAGTATTTGTACTTCCCCCTCTGGTAGTTTATTATAGATGTATGAACACACAGACTCACCTTCACACACAGGCGGCCGGCCCATCCAGCCCTCGTTGCCACAAAGGATATTCGGATTTCCAACCAAATTGTAACTAATTAGAGAAATAAGAAAAAAAACGTATTTGTTTTTGAGCAGATGTTCTTCCTTTGACCTGTTAAGCCTGGAGCCTGTTTTTCAGGTCTCGAAAATGACGTTCCCAGGACAAATGACAATATCTTCACTTCTAAAAGGGGTACATTAATAATCTTTGTTCTCAAAGCAATGATAAACCTGTGAGTTGGATGTAGAAAAGTCAGAATCAATATAGATGTTTTTTATGTTCAGATTGAACACAGTAAAAAAAATGTAAATTATAGTGTCTGTCCAAAAATAAAACATTTCTTATAGTGAAAACTAACCTTGGATGATGGTGAGGTAGACTAAAAGCTTTAGGAATCCAAACTATAACATGTAATAAGTACCCTGTATCAAGATTGATGCAAAACAAGTGACATTTGACCTTTTTAGAGAGGTTTAGCACAACAAAAAACCTTCTGGGGTCATTTTGAGTGGATTTGCCGTTTCTCTGGAACCCATTGGTCGATTTTGATGATTGACATCTCTTTTGAACCGTTAGAGCCAATAGAATCGAAGGGGAAGTTCCACACACACACGTTACCATTGAGGAGTGAGAGCTATGCGCACGCAGTTTGCCCAAAGCGAAACCTATCTTACGCTCTGAAATCTGAAACCTAGGCTCAAACTAGTAAATATGAGGATGGATTATCAGGAATAATTTCAAAGTGACAGACACATTGGATTAACCTATAGATTACCTTCAGCAGCGTTGTTATCATTGTAATGCCATTGAACACGACTTTTGATCAGAATAACAGCAAAGGGTAAGACAATTTGGCCGTGTTTCCTCCCTAAAGCTACATTGTGTGATGTCTGTGTTCGCTTCCCCTGTCGCGGGTTCTGATCGCTCAGTGATGATACTTATACTTCTGTGGAATCTCATTTTGCTAATCGATATCTTGTTTGTGCAGATCCGATAAGTAATAAGGGTATTTTATCGTGAGTTCTGTGCTGAGTGTGTTCAGGGCTCATTTAGACGCTTCTTGTGAGACTTGTGTTTTGTTTCGGTAAAAATGGTTCGTATCGTCTGATAGCGGAGTTTCTTCCCGTTAGGTGGGTATGACACATTCATAGGTTTTTAAATGTGAAGAAGCCCTGAGACACAACAAAAACAGGTTAACAACCCTGAACACTCAGAGAGCATATTGTGCTTAACCTCTACCTGTTGCATTCCAATTATAATTAAAATGAACAATGTGTACACGTGTGTCATCTATGTCTAAATAAGGCGGGACGACAAAAAAACTCATATCACGGCCTTTTCCAAATTAGAACGGCATCACGGTATTTATTTATGGTTCAATGATTTAAATGTATTTGCATTTAAAGGTTTTGTCCCCACAAAGAAACCCCTGATCAGTGCATGAAACGGCTGCAACACGCTAACTTTGCGTACAACACAACAACAACAACAACAACAGCAATCTCCAGTTCTTCAGAATCAGGTTTATCTCCAGATAGGTTGACACGTACGAGGAGTTTGACTTGATGTCGTGGTGCATACATCAAAGTAAAAACTGTTTATAAAACACAGTTAGAGAACTATTTTACGAAAACTATAATAACATAAAAACATATAGCAGTATTTACATTGAAATGGAATTGGAATAAAATGTAAAATATTCAGCGTGCATCTGCAGCCTCACATGTTCTGCTGCTACGCTTGGCGCTGTCCCCCAGCATGCATTTCAACGGTGCGACAGTGAAAGGAGTCCCCAGAGGACTCCTTTCACTTAAGAAATCATTCAAAGTGACACATTGGATTAACCTATGGATTAACTTCAGCAGCGTTTATCGTTTGAATGCCATTGAAGACCAGTTTTGACCAGACTACCACACAGGTGAGCCATGTTAGCGTTTTTGGCTACCTAGCGCCATATGTTTTTATGTCTGTTCTTGTTATTATCTCCACGAGTTCGTATAATTGAGTGATAATGAGGGTACCCATCGATTCTGTGTCCCCTCACGATGTGAAACGATGGGTTGGATGTGCAGCAAAGATAAATAATAAGGTTTAGTGAGTGAATCTCGGTGCAGTCATCTGTTAGCATTTTTCGCTCGTTGCTAATTCAGAGGCTCAGCGTTAGCTGATCTAAATGATCAGTTAGATGAGTTTCTTTCCGTTACATGGATATAAAACATTCATAGTTTATTAAATGAACATGCCCTCAGACACTGTTTCCTGCAAGATGTTGCAGGAGGCCCCCGGAACCGGGGTCTCGAGCCGGTTCATCAAACTTACCCCACCTTTAAGTTTCCTGTGTTTATATTTTTTATTGAAATAGTAGGTTGGTAGTAAGTTATTCTCTATATTTTATTCTGTGCGTTCCTTACATACTCTGCTGTTCATATGTATATATTTAGTGTCTATTTGTCCTTTACTTTTGTATTTTATTATAGTTTTGACTCATGTGCAAAGCCTTGTAAACTTGCTGCTAGAACAACACAATTGTCATGTTAGGGATAAGATGAAAATATATCTAATTTTTGTATTTTAATGACATTTTAACTTGTGCATCGCTTCTCAACATCTAATCATCCTATGTATATATTTGTTGAGTAGTACGTTGGTCTATTATATTCCAATGTATTCTGTATGCTATAGATCAGTGACCATCAACTGGTGGCCCGCGGGCCACATCCGGCCCGCCAGACATTCTCATCCGGCCCGCACGGCGGGAGTGACTGTGGCGTTGGCGGAGTGGTTAGTGCGTTTGCCCCCCACTCAAAATCGCTGGCCCCCGAAAGTGTCTCTTGGAATAGTTTTGGCCCTCGGACCCCTGATAGACCCCTGCTCATCTTTTGTGGATTTTATATATTTTTATTTTATTTATTAATAAACCTTGGCTCAGTTTTTATGGGTGTGTGACTCACCCAGGTTTGCAGGTGACCGTCAGTTTGTCTCCGAACTCATTCCCTTGAGAATAATCCACGTTTCCATTTGGCACGTCTTCAAAAGCGCCACATTGCTTCCCTTAAAAAACAACAGAAAAAACCCTTAGGATTAAATTCATCCCTTAAACATTTCTGGATATCTGTGTTTCAGAGTGTAAGAATACTCTGTTACAGTAAAAGTCCTGCATTCAGAATGTTCCTCAAGTAAAAGTAGAAGTACTCAGATCTTGTACTTGAGTAAAAGTAGAAGTACTCAGATCTTGTACTTGAGTAAAAGTAGAAGTACTCAGATCTTGATCTTGAGTAAAACTAGAAGTACTCAGATCTTGTACTTGAGTAAAAGTAGAAGTACTCAGATCTTGTACTTGAGTAAAAGTAGAAGTACTCAGATCTTGTACTTGAGTAAAAGTAGAAGTACTCAGATCTTGTACTTGAGTAAAAGTAGAAGTACTCAGGTCTTGATCTTGAGTAAAACTAGAAGTACTCAGATCTTGTACTTGAGTAAAAGTAGAAGTACTCAGATCTTGTACTTGACTAAAAGTAGAAGTACTCAGATCTTGTACTTGAGTAAAAGTAGAAGTACTCAGATCTTGTACTTGAGTAAAAGTAGAAGTACTCAGGTCTTGATCTTGAGTAAAAGTAGAAGTACTCAGATCTTGTACTAGAGTAAAAGTAGAAGTACTCAGATCTTGTACTTGAATAAAAGTAGAAGTACTCAGATCTTGATCTTGAGTAAAAGTAGAAGTACTCAGATCTTGTACTTGAGTAAAAGTAGAAGTACCAGAGTGTAGGAATACTCTGTTACAGTAAAAATCCTGCATTCAAAATGTTCCTCAAGTGAAAGTAGAAAAGTACTCTCATCAACATATAGTGAAAGACAGTAAAAGTAGTCGTTGTGCAGATTGGTCCATTTCAGAATAATATATATATATGTTTTATAATGATTGATCATGAAAGTGTTCTCAAAGCTGGTGAAGGTGCAGCTAGTTTGAATGGCTTTGTATACTGCAGGGTAGCTGGTGGATTTACTCCAGGTGGAACTAAAGTCTGATTCAACACTTGATTAGATTTCACATCATTCATCCACATCCACATCTGTGTAACTAAAGGTATACCATGTACCTCTGAACTGTAGAGCAGTAGAAGTACACCATGAACCTCTGAACTGTAGAGGAGTAGAAGTACACCATGTACCTCTGAACTGTAGAGGAGTAGAAGTACACCATGAACCTCTGAACTGTAGAGGAGTAGAAGTACACCATGTACCTCTGAACTGTAGAGCAGTAGAAGTACACCATGTACCTCTGAACTGTAGTGGAGTAGAAGTACACCATGTACCTCTGAACTGTAGTGGAGTAGAAGTACACCATGTACCTCTGAACTGTAGTGGAGTAGAAGTACACCATGAACCTCTGAACTGTAGAGGAGTAGAAGTACACCATGTACCTCTGAACTGTAGTGGAGTAGAAGTACACCATGAACCTCTGAACTGTAGAGGAGTAGAAGTACACCATGTACCTCTGAACTGTAGAGCAGTAGAAGTACACCATGTACCTCTGAACTGTAGTGCAGTAGAAGTACACCATGTACCTCTGAACTGTAGAGCAGTAGAAGTACACCATGTACCTCTGATCTGTAGTGGTGTAGAAGTACACCATGTACCTCTGAACTGTAGTGCAGTAGAAGTACACCATGTACCTCTGAACTGTAGAGCAGTAGAAGTACACCATGTACCTCTGATCTGTAGAGGAGGGAAAGTACACCATGTACCTCTGAACTGTAGTGGTGTAGAAGTACACCATGTACCTCTGAACTGTAGTGCAGTAGAAGTACACCATGTACCTCTGAACTGTAGAGGAGGGAAAGTACACCATGTACCTCTGATCTGTAGTGCAGTAGAAGTACACCATGTACCTCTGATCTGTAGAGCAGTAGAAGTACACCATGTACCTCTGAACTGTAGTGGTGTAGAAGTACACCATGTACCTCTGAACTGTAGTGGAGTAGAAGTACACCATGTACCTCTGAACTGTAGTGGAGTAGAAGTACACCATGTACCTCTGAACTGTAGTGGAGTAGAAGTACACCATGTTCCTCTGAACTGTAGTGGAGGAAAAGTACACCATGTACCTCTGAACTGTAGTGCAGTAGAAGTACACCATGTACCTCTGAACTGTAGTGGAGTAGAAGTACACCATGTACCTCTGAACTGTAGTGCAGTAGAAGTACACCATGTACCTCTGAACTGTAGAGGAGGGAAAGTACACCATGTACCTCTGAACTGTAGTGGTGTAGAAGTACACCATGTACCTCTGAACTGTAGAGGAGGGAAAGTACACCATGTACCTCTGAACTGTAGTGGTGTAGAAGTACACCATGTACCTCTGAACTGTAGTGCAGTAGAAGTACACCATGTAACTCTGAACTGTAGAGGAGGGAAAGTACACCATGTACCTCTGATCTGTAGTGCAGTAGAAGTACACCATGTACCTCTGATCTGTAGTGCAGTAGAAGTACACCATGTACCTCTGATCTGTAGAGCAGTAGAAGTACACCATGTACCTCTGAACTGTAGTGCAGTAGAAGTACACCATGTACCTCTGAACTGTAGAGGAGGGAAAGTACACCATGTACCTCTGATCTGTAGTGCAGTAGAAGTACACCATGTACCTCTGAACTGTAGTGGTGTAGAAGTACACCATGTACCTCTGAACTGTAGAGGAGGGAAAGTACACCATGTACCTCTGATCTGTAGAGCAGTAGAAGTACACCATGTACCTCTGAACTGTAGTGGTGTAGAAGTACACCATGTACCTCTGAACTGTAGAGGAGGGAAAGTACACCATGTACCTCTGAACTGTAGTGGTGTAGAAGTACACCATGTAACTCTGAACTGTAGAGGAGGGAAAGTACATCATGTACCTCTGATCTGTAGAGCAGTAGAAGTACACCATGTACCTCTGAACTGTAGTGGTGTAGAAGTACACCATGTACCTCTGAACTGTAGTGGAGTAGAAGTACACCATGTACCTCTGAACTGTAGTGGAGTAGAAGTACACCATGTACCTCTGAACTGTAGAGGAGTATAAGTACACCATGTACCTCTGAACTGTAGTGGAGTAGAAGTACACCATGTACCTCTGAACTGTAGTGGAGGAAAAGTACACCATGTACCTCTGAACTGTAGAGGAGTAGAAGTACACCATGTACCTCTGAACTGTAGTGGAGGAAAAGTACACCATGTACCTCTGAACTGTAGAGGAGTAGAAGTACACCATGTACCTCTGAACTGTAGTGGAGTAGAAGTACACCATGTACCTCTGAACTGTAGTGCAGTAGAAGTACACCATGTACCTCTGAACTGTAGTGGTGTAGAAGTACACCATGTACCTCTGAACTGTAGTGGAGGAAAAGTACACCATGTACCTCTGAACTGTAGAGGAGTAGAAGTACACCATGTACCTCTGAACTGTAGTGGAGTAGAAGTACACCATGTACCTCTGAACTGTAGTGCAGTAGAAGTACACCATGTACCTCTGAACTGTAGAGGAGGGAAAGTACACCATGTACCTCTGAACTGTAGAGGAGGGAAAGTACACCATGTACCTCTGAACTGTAGTGGTGTAGAAGTACACCATGTACCTCTGAACTGTAGAGGAGGGAAAGTACACCATGTACCTCTGATCTGTAGAGCAGTAGAAGTACATCATGTACCTCTGATCTGTAGTGCAGTAGAAGTACACCATGTACCTCTGATCTGTAGAGCAGTAGAAGTACACCATGTACCTCTGAACTGTAGTGGTGTAGAAGTACACCATGTACCTCTGAACTGTAGTGGAGTAGAAGTACACCATGTACCTCTGAACTGTAGAGGAGGGAAAGTACACCATGTACCTCTGATCTGTAGTGCAGTAGAAGTACACCATGTACCTCTGATCTGTAGAGCAGTAGAAGTACACCATGTACCTCTGAACTGTAGTGGAGTAGAAGTACACCATGTACCTCTGAACTGTAGTGGAGTAGAAGTACACCATGTACCTCTGAACTGTAGTGCAGTAGAAGTACACCATGTACCTCTGATCTGTAGAGCAGTAGAAGTACACCATGTACCTCTGAACTGTAGAGGAGTAGAAGTACAGCATGTACCTCTGAACTGTAGTGGAGTAGAAGTACACCATGTACCTCTGAACTGTAGTGGAGTAGAAGTACACCATGTACCTCTGAACTGTAGTGGAGTAGAAGTACACCATGTACCTCTGAACTGTAGAGGAGTAGAAGTACACCATGTACCTCTGAACTGTAGTGGAGTAGAAGTACTCCATGTACCTCTGAACTGTAGAGCAGTAGAAGTACACCATGTTCCTCTGAACTGTAGTGGAGTAGAAGTACACCATGTACCTCTAAACTGTAGTGGAGTAGAAGTACACCATGTACCTCTGAACTGTAGAGGAGAAGAAGTACACCATGTACCTCTGAACTGTAGTGGAGTAGAAGTACACCATGTACCTCTGAACTGTAGAGCAGTAGAAGTACAGCATGTACCTCTGAACTGTAGTGCAGTAGAAGTACACCATGTACCTCTGAACTGTAGAGGAGAAGAAGTACACCATGTACCTCTGAACTGTAGTGCAGTAGAAGTACACCATGTACCTCTGAACTGTAGAGGAGAAGAAGTACACCATGTACCTCTGAACTGTAGAGCAGTAGAAGTACACCATGTACCTCTGAACTGTAGTGCAGTAGAAGTACACCATGTACCTCTGATCTGTAGTGGTGTAGAAGTACACCATGTACCTCTGAACTGTAGTGGTGTAGAAGTACACCATGTACCTCTGAACTGTAGTGCAGTAGAAGTACACCATGTACCTCTGAACTGTAGAGGTGTAGAAGTACACCATGTACCTCTGAACTGTAGAGGAGTAGAAGTACAGCATGTACCTCTGAACTGTAGAGCAGTAGAAGTACAGCATGTACCTCTGAACTGTAGTGCAGTAGAAGTACACCATGTACCTCTGAACTGTAGTGCAGTAGAAGTACACCATGTACCTCTGAACTGTAGTGCAGTAGAAGTACACCATGTACCTCTGAACTGTAGAGCAGTAGAAGTACACCATGTACCTCTGAACTGTAGAGGAGTAGAAGTACAGCATGTACCTCTGAACTGTAGAGCAGTAGAAGTACACCATGTACCTCTGAACTGTAGAGGAGTAGAAGTACACCATGTACCTCTGAACTGTAGAGGAGTAGAAGTACACCATGTACCTCTGAACTGTAGAGGAGTAGAAGTACAGCATGTACCTCTGAACTGTAGAGCAGTAGAAGTACAGCATGTACCTCTGAACTGTAGTGCAGTAGAAGTACACCATGTACCTCTGAACTGTAGAGCAGTAGAAGTACACCATGTACCTCTGAACTGTAGAGCAGTAGAAGTACACCATGTACCTCTGAACTGTAGTGCAGTAGAAGTACACCATGTACCTCTGAACTGTAGTGCAGTAGAAGTACACCATGTACCTCTGAACTGTAGAGCAGTAGAAGTACACCATGTACCTCTGAACTGTAGTGGAGTAGAAGTACACCATGTACCACTGAACTGTAGTGGAGTAGAAGTACACCATGTACCACTGAACTGTAGTGGAGTAGAAGTACACCATGTACCACTGAACTGTAGTGGAGTAGAAGTACACCATGTACCTCTGAACTGTAGTGGAGTAGAAGTACACCATGTACCTCTGAACTGTAGTGGAGTAGAAGTACACCATGCACCTCTGAACTGTAGAGCAGTAGAAGTACACCATGTACCTCTGAACAGTAGTGAGTAGAAGTACACCATGTACCACTGAACTGTAGTGGAGTAGAAGTACACCATGTACCTCTGAACTGTAGTGGAGTAGAAGTACACCATGTACCTCTGAACTGTAGAGCAGTAGAAGTACACCATGTACCTCTGAACTGTAGTGCAGTAGAAGTACACCATGTACCTCTGAACTGAAGTGAGTAGAAGTACACCATGTACCTCTGAACTGAAGTGAGTAGAAGTACACCATGTACCTCTGAACTGTAGTGCAGTAGAAGTACACCATGTACCTCTGAACTGTAGTGCAGTAGAAGTACACCATGTACCTCTGAACTGAAGTGAGTAGAAGTACACCATGTACCTCTGAACTGAAGTGAGTAGAAGTACACCATGTACCTCTGAACTGTAGTGGAGTAGAAGTACACCATGTACCTCTGAACTGTAGTGGAGTAGAAGTACACCATGTACCTCTGAACTGTAGAGGAGTAGAAGTACACCATGTACCTCTGAACTGTAGTGCAGTAGAAGTACACCATGTACCTCTGAACTGTAGTGCAGTAGAAGTACACCATGTACCTCTGAACTGTAGTGGAGTAGAAGTACACCATGTACCTCTGAACTGTAGTGCAGTAGAAGTACACCATGTACCTCTGAACTGTAGTGCAGTAGAAGTACACCATGTACCTCTGAACTGAAGTGAGTAGAAGTACACCATGTACCTCTGAACTGAAGTGAGTAGAAGTACATCATGTACCTCTGAACTGTAGTGCAGTAGAAGTACACCATGTACCTCTGAACTGTAGTGGAGTAGAAGTACACCATGTACCTCTGAACTGTAGTGCAGTAGAAGTACACCATGTACCTCTGAACTGTAGTGGAGTAGAAGTACACCATGTACCTCTGAACTGTAGAGGAGTAGAAGTACACCATGTACCTCTGAACTGTAGTGCAGTAGAAGTACACCATGTACCTCTGAACTGTAGTGGAGTAGAAGTACACCATGTACCTCTGAACTGTAGTGCAGTAGAAGTACACCATGTACCTCTGAACTGTAGTGGAGTAGAAGTACAACATGTACCTCTGAACTGTAGAGGAGTAGAAGTACACCATGCACCTCTGAACTGTAGTGAGTAGAAGTACACCATGTACCTCTGAACTGTAGTGAGTAGAAGTACACCATGTACCTCTGAACTGTAGAGGAGTAGAAGTACACCATGTACCTCTGAACTGTAGAGGAGTAGAAGTACACCATGTACCTCTGAACTGTAGAGAGTAGAAGTACACCATGTACCTCTGAACTGCAGTAGAAGTACACCATGTACCTCTGAACTGTAGTGAGTAGAAGTACACCATGTACCTCTGAACTGCAGTAGAAGTACACCATGTACCTCTGGACTGTAGTGCAGTAGAAGTACACCAGCCATGCACCTCTGAACTGTAGTGAGTAGAAGTACACCATGTACCTCTGAACTGTAGTGCAGTAGAAGTCCAACATGTACCTCTGAACTGTAGTGCAGTAGAAGTACACCATGTACCTCTGAACTGTAGTGGAGTAGAAGTACACCATGTACCTCTGAACTGTAGTGGAGTAGAAGTACACCATGTACCTCTGAACTGTAGAGGAGTAGAAGTACACCATGTACCTCTGAACTGTAGAGGAGTAGAAGTACACCATGTACCTCTGAACTGTAGAGGAGTAGAAGTACACCATGTACCTCTGAACTGTAGTGCAGTAGAAGTACACCATGCACCTCTGAACTGTAGTGCAGTAGAAGTACACCATGTACCTCTGAACTGTAGTGAGTAGAAGTACACCATGTACCTCTGAACTGTAGTGAGTAGAAGTACACCATGTACCTCTGAACTGTAGTGGTGTAGAAGTACACCATGTACCTCTGAACTGTAGTGAGTAGAAGTACACCATGTACCTCTGAACAGTAGTGAGTAGAAGTACACCATGTACCTCTGAACTGTAGTGAGTAGCATAACATGGAAACACTCAGGTAAAGTACGAGTACCTCAAAATGATACTTGAGTAAATGTACTTAGTTACTTTACACCTCTGTATATCGCTAACTGGTACTGGATATGTATTTTGTAAATTGTGTAATTTGTAGTTTGATCTCTTAATATTTGTATGCATGCTTCTTCATAAGCTGTCTTTGGCTCAAATGTAAATGTCCTCCTCTGTGGGACGAGTAAAGGTATTGTACCGCTACGTGTAAATACTAGTACTCACTTTTACACGTCATCCTCAAAGAGCTCCAGTCTCCCGCAGTGCAGGTGATGGATGCAGATCCTCCAGCAGTAACGTAGCCAACATCACAAGCAAACGTAACTTTTGTCCCGTCGGGGAAAGATTGTAAAAGTATGTCGTTCCCCTTCAGCCCCATGTTGTCTCCTCCCACAGGGCTGGAGCAGTCCTGAGCTGGGGAGGGAACGTCCAGAAGTTAATGTGTAACGTAGAATCAAAACAGGACTAATGTCATATCTGCAGCGAGATTATAACCACTGACCTTGAGCTGAAAGGAAAAGGCCAACAGAGGTCAGGAGCAGGAGGAAGGAGGCCGCCATGATTTAAGACCGTCTGGTGAAGAGAAACATTAAAACATTAAAACATGTGATGGTTCAAATGTAAAGTAATGAATTAGATTTACTTAAGTACAAGTTTGAGGTACTTTACTTGAGTATTTGCATGTTATGCTACTGGGTACTTCTACTCCTCTACAGTTCAGAGGTACAACGAATACTTTTACTGTCGCTACTTTCACTCAGGGGCGGATCTAGAAAAATATTCATGGGTGGCATCCCCTGGCAGAAGTATATGCTGATTTAAATGCAGTCATATCAATCAATGTTAACTTGGAAAGCCACAATATTTATTTTAACTCAATAACATCAGGTGACATTATTGTGGCACATCAGTAAAGCCTTACAAGGTGGCAGACATCATTGAATGAATTTTAACTGAACAATAACTGAATGAGTTTCACTCTTAGACCAGCAGGGGAACCACATCTATGCAGACTGCTGCAATAAGTACATTAACTGTCTCATCGATGTTTGTCTGTATGAATATGATACTATTAACAATCATATTATTCCTATCAGCTGTCAGCAATACATCAGTATTGGGTCCACTCCTATTCATCATTTACCTCCTCCCACTAGGCACAATCCTCCGTCACCATGGCATCCACTTTCCACTATGCTGACGACAAGCAAGTCTATATCTCAACCAAACCCAACACCGCCCTCCCGCCCACCTCCCTCACCACCTGCCTCCAGGATATCAGGAGCTGGATGAGCAGGAACTTCCTGAAGCTAAATGGTAGTAAAACTGAGGCCCTGCTCATCGGCTCAAAAAACACCCTCTCCAAAATCCTAACCACCCCACCCCCAAGCATCATGATCGACGGCTTCCCTGTATCCTTCACCAGCCAAGTCAAAAGCCTTGGCGTCATCCTGGACAGCACCCTTTCGTTTGCACCCCACATAAAAAACATCACCCGGACTGCCTTCTTCCATATCCGCAACATTTCCAGACTCCGCCCATCCTGTGGTGGCGTCTTGATCCTTGTCTACAATTTAATCGCCACCTCTATAGGGGTTGTGGGTTTTGACGCGCCTCTCTTTGTTTCCAAACAATTCAGCGGAGATCGTAGTTGAATCAGATGAGCTTTGTTCCTTGATCCACACGGTACATACAGGAGGACACATTTCTTCGCTTCATAGTCACTAAAAAGTGTATCATTTTCCAAAGTAACAAAAAGAACACGGTCAAAAGACTTTTCCATTTCCCCGTCTATCACCCCCAGCTGTGTCCCATCAATCTACCATATAGGCATAGCCATGCACGTGATACTGACGCACATATCACAAATAATAAGTGAGCCTTAAATGAATGCATTTTAAACCATAATGTGACTCACAAAAATAGTCGATAATTTACAGTATAATCTAATTTATATTATTATTAAGCCTAACATTCAGACAATAATAACAAAAGGTAAAATGGCTCTAACACATCCCTTTCACAATCCAGCACCGAAATCCTGGTTAATGCATTTGTCACAACCCGGATTGACCACTGTAATGATATCCTCTCTGGCCTACCCACAAAACTACTCAACAGACTCCAAATCATTCAAAACTCGGCTGCCCGGATCATTACCTGTACCAAATGGTCTGACCACATCACCCCCATCCTCATCCAACTTCACTGGCTCCCTGTTCAGCACCGGATTGACTACAAAAACCTTCTGCTTACATACAAAGTAGGGCTGTGCGATTATGGCAAAAATCATAATCACGATTATTTGGTCAATAATTGATATCACGATTATTCATTGACCATTTATTGAACTTTAAAACAAATAATATTTTACCAATAAACAAGATCAATAAATGTGTTGGAGCGCTCTTCCAAAACCATACTAAACATATATTAATATGATAAATAAAAATAAATTAGACCAAAATAAATGAAATCAAACATGTTGCAGTGCACTGTCACAACCTACTGAACACTCCTTAACATATAGCCAACATGTTGGTAAAACATATTCAACATATTCCACTCAGTTAAACGTTGAAGGCTGGCCAACCGTCATGGTCCAGAAGTAACAGGAAATAAATGTTGAACTACAATTTAAGACCAAATAAAAATGTTTAGGCCACCATGACAAATGCTGGTAGGGCTGCTCGTGTCATCTCTTAAAGATGTTTTGCAAGAAACACCAGCCTGTTTACATGGTCTGGTTTCAGAGATGAGCGCAGACAGGTGACGATATTGCCACCTGTACTGAAGACCCTCTCTGAAGAGGAACTTGTGGCAGTGCTGCCACATGACACAGGAAAAAAAGAAAAGACTCTGAACCCTTTCTTTGCCATTATATAAAAATAGTGTTGCTACAAAAGTATAATTAGGCTTACTAATAAGACAACTCAGATCTGAAGCTACACAGGAATCTGCTGCAGCAACAGTGCAATAAAAAAGACAACATTAATAGAATCAAACCCATTTTTTGTTGCATTTTATTAGAGTATAAAAAGAAATGCCTTTAAAATAGGATGCAAGCAACACTAGTTTCTGAACTGATAGACTATAATCAATTTAAACAGAACAGATCTTAATGTTTGCATTCTTATACCATTTTGTACAATAATTATCATGAATAAGTTCAAACAAACTAAAACTTACAGCTGATTAATAACGGTATCCAAATTGAGTTTTTATTATATCAAAAACCTGTTGAAATGCTTCTGTTATTTTTACTGTCCCACAAAAGCGCGTCGCAGCCTCCAGGAAAGCTTCTTTCATAACTTCGCCGTCTTTGAAAGACTTCATGTGTTTCGCAAGAACGTGACTGACACGATAAGATGCTCTGGTAGCAGCCTTGCTCTTGTTGTTGGGCCTGGTGGAAATGGACTGCTGTGCATTTAGCTGTCCTTTCAGGCCCCTCCCCTTTTGGAGCGTAGGGCAGAATTAGGAGGGAATTCCGTCTCGTAGCGTTTGTGCACTGTTTTGAAATGCCGCTCCTAAATTACCCTTCTTCGATAAAGCCACGCTCGCATTGCAGATGAGACAGATGGACTTTGAATTGGAAGAGATACAAAAATAATGATCCTCCCACTCGGAGTGAAAATTATATATGTTGGGCTTTTTTGCTTCTGCCATAATTGCGGTCTTGTGTGTGTGCGGACTGTCACTCCTGTTGACCATCCATGCTGTTGACACGGACAACGTCAGCGAACTAGTGCACTGCTCACCAGCCACGCCCGGACACATGGGGTGAGGCCGGCCAATCACAAAGCTTTGATGCGTTCAAGTGCATTATTCTGGCACGGGAACATTATGTTACAGGACATTAACGATAAAACAGAATATTGTTGTTCTATTTTTAGACACATCTCGCGATCGACTGGGAATCTCCCCGCGACCCTTCTTTTTAACTAGTTGCTGCTCTTGTTCTGACATCTTCGCTTGCGCTGAACACTCACAACACATGTCACTCCCACGTGGCCGAGTGGGCTTTTAGGGAGGGGCGAAAGCGCACCCAGCAAAATAATCGTATTTTGTCAATTATGCTGTTTTCCTAATCGTCGCAAGCCATAATCGTAGTCGCGATTAAAATACGATTAATTGCACAGCCCTAATAAAAAGCCCTCAACAACCTCACCCCCACCTATCTCTCAAACCTCCTCCAGGAATACACCCCCTCCCGCTCCCTGCGCTCATCCTCAGCCGGACTCCTGACTGTCCCCACCTCCCGCCTTAGCACCATGGGAGCCAGGGCTTTTAGCTGCACCGCGCCCAGGCTCTGGAACTCTCTGCCTCCACACATCAAACAGTCTGACTCCATCACGATATTCAAATCCCACCTCAAAACCCACCTGTTTAAACCGGCCTACTCACTCTAAAACACATTCAACCTGCCATCACGGATCCTCCTCTCACTCCGTCACTCCACACTCTTGTCTGTTTTATGTTTTATGCTGCTGTATTGCCTTGTCGGTTCGATTAAATTGTGTTCCGTTTTTGTTTTAGCCGTTTTGACTTTTAAATGCACTGTAAGGCGACCTTGGGTGTCCTGAAAGGCGCCTCGAAATAAAACGTATTATTATTCTTATCAGCTGTCAATCACTGTTATGATTCACATATTCAGTGTTATTATTAAATAAACTATATTTTTTGGAGTTAATGATGAATGTTCCTCAAGATGCTTGCTGACCCTCCTTCAAATTTGAAAGACAAGTAATTACTATCATAAATCAAAAGAATCAAAAGAACAGTTCAGCGCCCCACGACTTCACTGCAAACACTTACAACCTTGACTTTACATCAGAAAGAACAAACATTAAAGAAGTGACTAACTGCATCAATTAGGGTTTAAAAAATGTGTATTCAGCTAAAACATAAACATCGCGGCAGTTATGATCCAGTGGAGAGTCCTTACCTGCTGGCCTAGTTAAATCAAAGTGGTTACTTTCTGTTGGCTGGGCAGTGAAGTTTTACACACCGTCTGATTTGACTTTCTCAGGACTTGAAACTGTTTTTTGGGGGCAGACCCCCACAAAGAAGAAAACTATTATACACACGTAAGGTCATCATCTTAACAGTTTATTATTCTCATCGACTCATCCGTGAGCAGAGCATCAAGCTGCCGATAACAGCTGAATGTGGCGATTACCATCTTGATCAGCAAAACGCCTCACAAACGTATTAAGATTTAAAGCTATGGTGCGTTTTGATTCAATGCTGAGTACAGCCTGAAGAACATCGAGGATTAAAAAACAAATGTCACAACAGGACTTAGAAAAGCTTGTCCATGCTTTTATCTTTAGTAGACTCACTCGACTACTGCAATAGTGTCTTCACAGGGCTCACTAAACAATCCATCAGAAAGCTGCAGCTGATTCAGAGCGCTGCTGCTCGAGTCCTCACTCACACTAAAAGAGTGGATCACATCAGTCCGGTTCTGAAATCTCTACACTGGCTTCCAGTCGGCCACATCATTGATTTTAAAGTACTATTGCTAGTTTTTAAATCATTACATGGTTTAGGACCAAAGTATATTGTTGAAC